CTTAGTTTTTGGAAATTGACGGAGATCCGACCGTTGGATGGTAATGAAATTTTAGGATGTTGTCCTAGAGGTATAATGTGGACCTCTGGAAGTTATGGATTTAAAAATCTGAGTGGTGGATCTTCCGAATCGAACTACGTAGTGACGTATTTTATATATAAGTTATATATTTTATCGATATGAATTCTGAGCCTGGATTTGATTATTATTCTAGGCGGCGATCGTCGTGACGCCTTGATGTGTGGTGCTAGGGAGTTGTTGGACGAACTCCAGGTGAGTGGGCAGTTTTGTTTTCCGTATATATATGTACTTGACGTTTTCCCAGAAATTGAATTTAACGGAAGTATGCTTTCAAAATGCCATGCATAGATTCATATGAAAAATGTGATTTGAAATGCCATGCATAGAAATGATATGAAAAGTATATAGAAATGTGAATCGAATTGCCATGCATGAAATGATATGAAAAGTATGAATTGAGATATGATGCATATATATGAAATGGTGCTGTGGACACACAGGTGAGTATCAGGTGAGTATTATTACTGTTATGATGATGTTGAGATATGTTGAGCTCATAAACTGCACCTTGGTATTAGTGCTTATTATTATTCACCGCATCGTATGCTCACCTTGGATCCAAGTAGATGCTAGTCGTACAGACCACCGGGGGTGGTTCCGACATGCCAGTCGTACAGACCATTAGAGGGGTTCCGACTGGTAGGTGACCTTAGATTATGTGCACAGATGATTGATGAGAAAAGCACTAGAGCATATTATTACACCATTAAGTCGTACAGATTACATTAGGTAATTCCGACTTATGTGCAGTGTAGTGCCGTACAGGTCATACTAGGTGACTCCGGCATGGCCGTACAGGTCACAGTTGGTGACTCCGGTTAGATGATATTTTGAGCTCTAGATTCAACCGTACAGGACCATTGTAGGGTCCCCGGTTGATTATTTTCTTTCACCTGATTTATGTTGATGCATTCATATTATACTGTTGAATTTAGACATGGCATGGCATATTTGTACTGAAAAATGTTGAGTTAATGAATTGAAGTATTGAGAATATATATGTATATTTATATTTTACATTTCTGGGAAAGTATACAGGTTTTACGGAGAGGGGTTACAACGTTTTGAGAAATGTTTGGATTTGAAAAAGAATTGTTTTACTGACCCACTCAATTTTGGTTTTGCGCCCCTCCAGGTTCATGAATCACAAAGGTGTGGTGACTACGAGGAATTCGACGGTGTTCTGACAGATTGGACAAAATTAGGACTCACTTTCGGGTGTATATCAACTTAGGAATTGTATCTTAAAGCTTCCGTACTGTGCAAATGGTTACGTCACTCTCACGTGACGGCCAGCATGCCCTCCTTCGGGACGGGGTGTGTCAGTTGGTATCAGAGCATGGTTGCAATCCTGGACATCTTGAGAATTTCCGAGTGAATTCTGTCAGAACTACACCGCCTCGTAGCAAACCACGTAGTTAGAGGAATTTAGTCTCCCTGATTTAGCGGTTTGGGGGAAACTATTTTTATGGTGATTCAGTCTATTATAAAAATTGACATTTTAAGACGGGTTATGAGTTGAATTTGAATCACCTTATGAAATGATGAACCTGAGGGAGCGAAGTAACGGTTTAACCATTTGGAAAAGATGTTTCAGATTATGCAAGTCAATGGAAATTTCCTTTTGACAAGGGGTTGAGACGACTACCTAGTTTTGGGTATGAATTTGTATCCTGGTGGAAACAGGAGTATGATTTGTTGTCACCGGAGGAACAGCCGATTTAAAATTGTTTAAGGACTTGTTTAAGGAAAAAGTTTATTCCTCCGGCATTGATCGATGGTAGTAAACAAGAGTTTACAAATATGAGACAAGGAAGGTGATGATCGAGGGATATTATAGAAAGTTTTCAGACTTGCCTCGTTCCATCCAGATATTGTTGTTAATTTGGTGGAGGTGTTATGTTGTTTTAAGCTGGGTGGCAAAAAGGGAAGTGGTATTTTGGGTGACCACTATCCATTGTAGTTCTTATCAGGAGTATGCTAGATGTTGTTGAGTCTTGAGGACTCTGAGAACATGAGCAACGAGAATAAAGAAGAATAAGAAATGAATGGGAATCAAAAGAAGACGATAGAGTTAATGATTCGTCATATCAAGGATATAGAAAGATTCAGAGCTTCGAAAGAAATGAAGCTAGAGTTAATTCTTCCAGCTGAGTTTTTAATGTCGCTGGTCAGAATAAAAGTGATGGATATACTGATAATCCCAGATATTTGAGACAAGGTGTCTCGAGTAAAGGAAATGTACCTTGTGCAGCAGGTACAAAATTAACACTTTGGGAAATGTGAAATTAATGAATGTGTTTATGTAAACAGAGGGGACACATAATTGTGAATCGTCCCTATAATCAGTTGTACTCAACAATTTTCCATGATATCATAGTGTCAATTCAGCAGAGTTATGGACTTAGTAGTTTGGTTGGATTGACCATGAGTACCGAGAGATTTGATGAGTTATATGTTCAGCCGTACAGGCCACAAGAGGTGGATCCGGCTGACACATGAGAAATTGGTGAGTTATAGGCTCGGCTGTACGGACCACAAGATGTGGATCCGGCCGACGTATTTACTGGGGAATTGATGTGTAAGTCGTACAGGTCACTATAAGTGACTCCGACTAATGTGCTAGCATAGATGGTTGAGCTGGAGAATCAGCCGTACAGGTCATTCTAGTTGACTCCGGCTGATATATTTCTGAGTATGGACGATGATGCCAAAGAAAGTAATGTTGGAACGTGATAGAGGCGTATATGTGTATTCTAATGAAAAAAAAAATGATAGTATTACACCTTTGGGAATTGTTGCTTACTTATCGAGACAACGATGATTTATCAGTATTGCGGGCTGCAGACCGTAATATTAATAACTCATTCGTGGATTCGTTAAGCAAGCAAACCGGTATGTTATTTTATGTTAGTGTTGTACTTATTTAGAATGTTCAGTAATAATAAAGTATGTATTGGGTCAGTTAATTTTATTCCATTAGATTGATTATTTATAGTTGTGACTAGATGGAATATTACGGGAAACCAGTTACTTTCCATCGATCTGGATGACCAGAGATTACTTTTGTAAGTATGCAAAATGGATTGAGTCAGGCCGTTATTTATGCTGTGAGAGCAAAGCAATTGTTTTCGAAAGGCTGTCAAAAATACTTAGCTCATGTGGTGCTAAATGATGTTGTTTGGAGTAGTGTGAATAATGTCAAAAGGGGTTAGACTTTCTTGATGTCTTCCTTGAAAGTATACCTGGATTTCCTTCAGGCAGAGATATGAGGTTCACTATTGATTTGTTGCCAGGTATAAATTTATATTGGAGATTGGTTCAGGATGAATTAAGGGAATAGGAAATTCAGTTGAGAGAATTGGTTGATAAAAGTTTTATTCAACCTAGTACAACACTGTTGAGGAGCACCAGTTTGTTGGTGAGAAAGGAAATGGACTTAGAGATTGTTCATTGATTATAGATAATGGAATCGGGTAACGAATGAGAACCGTTATCCATTGTGGTGTATTGATGCTCATTTGATCAGTTCAAAGGTGCTTGTATATTTTCAAAGATTGACTTGAAGTCTGTTTATTATCAATTGAAGATTTGAGTAACGTTGTTCCTAAGATTGTTTTTTTATGGACTCGTTATAGTCTTTATGAAGTTTGGTGATGCTATATGGATACTCATGTTGTTTTATGAGTTATTGGATGAAGTATTCCAATAATGCCTTGATAAATAGATATCATTTTCATTGAAGATATTCTGGCATATTCTGAGCCAGAGCAGAACATGTAAACGTATTAAGTCGGTGGAACAAAGATTGGAAGAATGTCGGTTGTATGCTAAGTAGCAAATGCTAAAGTTAGATGAATCATGTGGCATTCTGAGATTTGTTATATATTCTTAAGGTATTCAAGTGAATCCTTAAAAGATAGCAGAAATTGAGAATTTGGAACAACCACGAGTCGTAATTGAGATTTAGAATTTCTTAGCTTACCAGGCTATCTTGGATGGTTGTGAAAATTTTTTTCAGTCATTGCTTTGTCATTGACGAGACTGTTGAGAAAAGAGGTTATGTATGAATGGGAAGGAAATTGTGAGCAAAGGATTCAACAACTGAAGTATTTCCTTACTCATGCACGTATTTTAGTAATCCCAGAGAATAGTGGTAATCATAAATTTTTAGTGATGTTTCTTGAATGGTATTGGATGCATGTTGATGCAAATGTTAGGGTGATTGCATACGTTTCAAGACAAATGGAATCTCATGAGATGAATTACCCTACTGGTGATTTGGAAGTCACGATTACCATCATTGCTGTGAAGTTATGGAGACATTCTATGTTGATAAGAATGCAAGATTTTACAAATCAAAAGAGTCTCCAATATTTGTTTACTCGGAAGGATTTCAATATGAGGCAACAAAGGTGGATTGAATTACTTAGTGATTATGATTGTACGATCAGGGTGATCGTGAATTGTTGTAGCTGAAGCACTTGATGAGAAGACTCTAGTAAGAATTAATGATTGGTAAGTTTGCCAAGATTATCTTCTTGTGGATCGGAAATCAACTGAAGTAAAGTTGAGAACTGGAGATCGAGAAGAAGCTCTACTTGTTAGATTTCAAGTTAGGCATGTTTGGTAAGGTCGTACTCGAAACTTAAACATTTGACGAGGAAATTTAAGAATTAACCAAGGCAAGGAAAGAAGGGGAAAAAGAAAGATTCGATCACGAAGGAGTTTTAGTAGACCCTGAGACTATGGATGAGTCTCCTCAAAGTATTCAGGTGATTAAGTTAACCTGAAGTAACCAGGAATGGCAAAAAGAGATCAACAGATGGATATGCCACTAATCGAGTGTGTAAGGTAAATGGTTTGATATTTTGGAATTTCACCATGAACAGAAATAGTAAGATTCAGAAAGAAAAGACAAGATAAGTCTTAAACACATCAGACCGTTTTGATCATTAAAAGAATCGATGAAGTTGCATATAAGTTTATGATGCCTTCAAAATTGTCTAAGGTGCATAATGCATTATATTTCGATGCGTTGTCACTAGGTGGCAGACTCGTCACATGGGATTCTGGTGCAACTATTGAGAATTAAATTGGATTCGACTTGATAAGGAACCAAGGACGACTTTGGATTGGAAAAAGAAGGTCCTGAGAATTGAGACAGAGTAAGTGGTAAAAGCTTGTTGAAGGAAATCATTCAGTAGAAAATTATGTTGGAGAAAGAGAATCGGATGAGAGAGATTTACCCGAGGAAATTGTATGAGTATAGATGATTTAGTTGGTTGCTGGAATTTCGGGGACGAAATTCTATAAGGAGGGGAGATTGTCACAGCCCGTCCCGGAATTTTTAATTCCAAGGACGTGAAATTACGAAAATGCCCCTAATACGTGACTAAGGTATAAATTTTTACGTTCGTTATATCTAAGTTCCTAAAATTTGGTAAGTAGAGTGGAGACTTAGATTTAAATTTATGTTAGAATTTTGTAGTTGGGGATTGGGTAGGATCCCACACCCCTTAATTCTTTCCCTCTTTCCCGTACCCTGTCTCTCTCTCTTCCCTCACGACTCTCTCTCACTCTCAGTTCTCTCTCTCTTCCTCTCCGACGCTCAACCTCACCCAAAACCACCTAAAACATAAACAAACGTCCAAGGTAAGACCACATTTGGACTCCTGGAACTTCCACGATCACGTAGACATCAATTTCAGGTAAGTTCTACTTCGGAAAACGTAGTTTTTAAAAGTTCCCGTGAAGAGCACTGTTCATGATCTTTGAATATGTTGTGTTTTAGGGAAATCTAAGCTCACAGGGAGCTCTAGGAGGTTCCCACGAAGCTCGGAGTGCTTCGTTGGAAGTTTTTGGACGAAAGAACACGGAGATCGACGAGTTCAAAGTTTGGCCGGAGCTTTCGAGGCATTTTCCGGCGAATCCCCGGCGAGTTAGGAGTCGAGGTAGGTATCAATCTCTTCGTCTCGTCAAGTACTACAACTTTCCTTTTTGTTTCACTCAATTTCGTTGAGTATTGAAGAAGTTATACTCATTTGAAAAATACCCAGTTTCCGGCGACCTCCGAGGCTTTCGAGGCAGTTTCCGGCCAAACCACGGCGAACTAGGTGTTGTGCAAGGTACCATTCTCTTTGTCTCTTCAAGGGCTACAACTTTCGTTTTTGAATCACTTGATTTCGTTGAGAAATGACAAAGTTATGGCAATTTGAAAAACTGCCCGGAAAAACGGCCGCCGGAAAAACCAGTCCGGCGACCCAAGGAAGAAGAAGGTGCTACAGTAAAAAAATAAAAATAAAAATAAAATTATTTTAAAAATATGTCGACGTCCGTGACGTCGAGTAGATCACCGTGGTATATTCATATACCCAATTTGAGCACCGTATGAGAAAGTTATTAAGGATTGTTGGTTAGGTGTTCGAATAACGTTTTATAGTAGTTTTGGTGAAAATGTGAATTGATGATCCGACCGTTGGATCGTCACCAAACTTTGATACGTTGCAATACGTAATATTTAAGGACTATTGGAACTTATGGATTAGGAATCCGAGTTACGGATCTTCCGGAATTGGAATTGTAAGTCCATAATATAAAATGTTAACCGTCACTTAGTTTTGGAAATTGACGGAGATCCGACCGTTGGATGGTAATGAAATTTTAGGATGTTGTCCTAGAGGTATAATGTGGACCTCTGGAAGTTATGGATTTAAAATCTGAGTGGTGGATCTTCCGAATCGAACTACGTAGTGACGTATTTTATATAAGTTATATATTTTTATCGATATGAATTCTGAGCCTGGATTTGATTATTATTCTAGGCGGCGATCGTCGTGACGCCTTGATGTGTGGTGCTAGGGAGTTGTTGGACGAACTCCAGGTGAGTGGGCAGTTTTTGTTTTCCGTATATATATGTACTTGACGTTTTCCCAGAAATTGAATTTAACGGAAGTATGCTTTCAAATGCCATGCATAGATTCATATGAAAAATGTGATTTGAAATGCCATGCATAGAAATGATATGAAAAGTATATAGAAATGTGAATCGAATTGCCATGCATGAAATGATATGAAAAGTATGAATTGAGATATGATGCATATATATGAAATGGTGCTGTGGACACACAGGTGAGTATCAGGTGAGTATTATTACTGTTATGATGATGTTGAGATATGTTGAGCTCATAAACTGCACCTTGGGTATTAGTGCTTATTATTATTCACCGCATCGTATGCTCACCTTGGATCCAAGTAGATGCTAGTCGTACAGACCACCGGGGGTGGTTCCGACATGCCAGTCGTACAGACCATTAGAGGGGTTCCGACTGGTAGGTGACCTTAGATTATGTGCACAGATGATTGATGAGAAAAGCACTAGAGCATATTATTACACCATTAAGTCGTACAGATTACATTAGGTAATTCCGACTTATGTGCAGTGTAGTGCCGTACAGGTCATACTAGGTGACTCCGGCATGGCCGTACAGGTCACAGTTGGTGACTCCGGTTAGATGATATTTTGAGCTCTAGATTCAACCGTACAGGACCATTGTAGGGTCCCCGGTTGATTATTTTCTTTCACCTGATTTATGTTGATGCATTCATATTATACTGTTGAATTTAGACATGGCATGGCATATTTGTACTGAAAAATGTTGAGTTAATGAATTGAAGTATTGAGAATATATATGTATATTTATATTTTACATTTCTGGGAAAGTATACAGGTTTTACGGAGAGGGGTTACAACGTTTTGAGAAATGTTTGGATTTGAAAAAGAATTGTTTTACTGACCCACTCAATTTTGGTTTTGCGCCCCTCCAGGTTCATGAATCACAAAGGTGTGGTGACTACGAGGAATTCGACGGTGTTCTGACAGATTGGACAAAATTAGGACTCACTTTCGGGTGTATCAACTTAGGAATTGTATCTTAAAGCTTCCGTACTGTGCAAATGGTTACGTCACTCTCACGTGACGGCCAGCATGCCCTCCTTCGGGACGGGGTGTGTCAATATAAGAGTTATTTCCCGTTTTCTGCCAATTTGAGTTTAATAGATGTGGAAAAATAACTTATTCATATGAAATTGATTTTAGCATAATTTGTTTCTTCCGTTACACATGTTTATTTGTGATTTTTGGATTGAATAAATCAAATAAACAAAAATAATGAACGGTGCACAAAATATAAAAATAATGTGTGGAAATCATTTTGATATAATTTAAATAAATAAAAAATTTATATATACATGTCAAATTGTAATTTATCTATAGTAAAATGAAACATTTCCAACTTCATTTACATAACATACCCATAATTACAAAGGGACACCATGTAACCTTTTTCTTTTTTTTTTCTTTTTTTTTGGATCAAATGATAGATTTGTTAGACTAAATGTTTAGATTAAGGAGCTAATGGGATTCAAACCACCTTGGGGTGCAAATACACATTCCTTTCCATCATTGTGGTAGAGGATCATTTGGTAACCCTCTTCTAGAAGAGTTAGTATTTTTAAGTATTATAAAAAGGGATAATTATTTCCCGAAAAAAAAAAAAGGATGCTACTACAAGTCTCTCTAGAAGATAAGGTCTACTTGTTCATGCTTAAGAGGCAAAGGAGATGAGTCAAAGGCTTAAAAGTCGGAAGAAGATCCTGGCCAGATTCTTTTCCTTTGGATCCAGGATATTCTGTGATCGTGTTTGTTCATCATACATCATACAGTCAGTTTTCGTTACGTACGATTTATATTTAATTTTAAATTTTAAATGATTTATTATCGTATAATGTACGATGAACGGACACGAACACGACAAGATACTTTTCCTTAAAAGTCATCCTTTAGATGGTCCAATTTATGCATCGTACAAACTGATTTCTTTGCCGTGTCATAATCCCAGCCACTCCATCTCCAGTGCCCCACAAGATATGAAAGCTGTGAAAAGAATATGAAAGGTCTTTGGTCCACAGAGAGACAAATGTTGGGATAGGATGGCATTTTAGTCTTCTGATTAAGTCACTTGAGAGTGATAGAGGAAATTAAAATGCCATAACTTCTCATGTCGGTTCTTAACAAGAAAAATTGTTAGAAGTGGAAATTGAATTTGTTGACAGTTAATTATTTTAATCATTCTATAAAACAAAATTTTGTCTCAATATTCTTGTTAAATTATCACGTGAGTTACTACGAGATCACCTTTTTAAGGCATTTTTGTCAAACCAACCCCTCAATTTAACGATAATATTAACAGATTTTTTACAAATATGGGGAGTTATGTCAATCTCATATACCATTTTTATCGATTTTCATTGTCAATAATCAAAATAAAGAGTTACGTTAAATTTAGATATCATTTTGGCTAAAAATCCATTTAGAAAACAAATCTCTTTCACGTGTAAACTCATGTACCACACACTTTTCTATTTTCCCAACACTAAATATCTAAAAGTTTTAACTTCCATTGAAACTTTTAAGGTCAACATTTAACTACGAAGGGTTTCTCGGCGAAGACTTGCCTCATCTAAATGTGGGCGGTTTGGAAGTTTGCTTAAGGTATTAAAGTGCTTTAATTTGGAGAAATTTTTAGTTGTAAAGAGAACATGGATGCTACATCATTTATTTTTATGTAAGTGGTGGAAAATTTTAATTTTTAAGTTATTAATCTTTTAACACACATAACCCACCATTTATATAGGCATACGTGATGTACCATCTCGTGTGACGGTCACATTGAAAAATTTCTCCTTTATTTGTCCATTTCTATTAATTGTCTTGCGCATATTTAGGGTCTCACCACTAGAAACAATGTAGCAAAAGTTGGACAAAGTTGACCATTACTAGGAGTCTAAGAGTGAATTTTTCAATGTGTTCGAAATAATAGAGGAGGGGAGTATGCCATATATTTATACAATAGGAGAATTTTTTTTTTTTTCAAGTGTTTCTCCAATTGTGTAATAACATGTGACATTATATTCCATGTTCCCGACATGCTAAAAAATATCTCCATTACTAGATAGTGCAGATAAGTGAATTTTTTTTTTAATAATTTGCATCGGAGGCTTAAGTTTATTTGATTATTTAAACTTGTGATTAAATCTTACATCATAATTCTATACTTTTACTGCATGAAATTACACACGCGAGTCGTGATATAGTATACACACAAAATAAGATACGAGCGCTAAGTCATAAACATATCAACGTCTTGAAACAATAAAACAATTCCGCCAACTTTATTATGATAATTGTAGTATGTTGATGCACAAAATCAGCGAAGACTTTGGTACAACAGAAAGTGTCAGGTTTTGTGACCTTCGCTTGGTTGCTTCGGTCACTAGTGAGGATAAGTACGTAAATGAATAGAGACAGAGAAGCAAACACAGGATGTACGTGGTTCACCCAGATTGGCTACGTCCACGGAGTAGAGGAGTTCTTATTAGTAGTGAAGGGCTTACACAAGTACAAGGGATCAAGCTCTCAATTTAGTGAGTTCTTGTGAATGATTTAACACAAATGGCATTAGCCAATATTGTGGGGGAATGACCCCTATTTATAGAAAAACTTGTAGCTTTGTCACATTGACATGTGTCATGTTATGATTGGTTCTTGATGTCGACACGTGCTGCGCTCTGATTGGCTTCTAATCTTGACACGTGTCGAGTAGTGATTGGCCTCCTGGTCGGAGGGGAACTCTTCTGGGTCCTTGACAGTATAGCGTTGGCCGGTGCTCGGTAGTTTCGGGATTGGTCAAGTATGGTACAAACAGTGCTCCCCTAAGTTCCCGAGTGAGGGAAACTCCTCGGTTGGGGACTTGCAAGATCCAATCCCTTGAGTAATCACGAAACTTCTAAGTACCGAAGTGTGGTCTGATCTTCATCTGCCCTTCTCTGGAAGTACCTTTCCTCCATCCGGGAATGGTGTATTTAGCTGATGTTGACGCACAAGGTAATGTATCAATTTCACTTGAAGCTTAGTTGTAGTTTCGGGCTTAGTCAAGTGTGATACAAACCCTATAGTAGGAGTCCCCCAAGTCGCCGAGCTAGGAGATCTGCCGAAAGAGGTGACAGATAAGGTAAGCAGTCAAACTTCCAAGTAAGCAACCCAGGATCAGAGGTTTGACTTCGGCTTC